GGTACAGTGCTCGCAGTGCACTCGGGCTGTCATTACTTTCACTTGTGGCTCAATATGGAGCACCGCGCGGCTCCACGGCGTTATACAACCAATTGAAGAGGGGGAGGGGTGCGCGCGGCAAGGACGGCAAAGGACGACGAACCTATGACGTTTAAAATTTTTAAAAGTCGTCTTTGAGACAGCCGCCAGTGTTAGTGGCTGTGTGGTGGGCCCGAAAGGAAAGGCGCGGTAGTCGAAGCTCGTAATTTGAAGTCGCGAGGCGAGCGCGCGCTTTAAGGGGCGTGCGCGTCCAGGCGCAAATCAGTGCGCCGTTAAAGCTTTAAGTCCGTGACGTAGACAAACATCCGCACTTGCACGCGCGTGCTCGCAGGTGGGTGACTCCGGCCTGCCAGGTTTTCAGCAGCAGGGAAAATAACATTAAATAATGACACCGAAAAGGGACATCTTACACAGCTGAAACGGTGTACATGCAGAGTTCTCTATAGGGTGTATGTCAAAATTTTGGCCGCACTTAATTAAAATTTTTGGAATTGGGTACTGGAACTGAATGAGAGGGGGAGGACAATGAAGGCGCGCGTCTCTGGGCAAACGCTCAGCGCCCCGCTCGGCGGCGCCCCACCCCACCCCCATCCCGTGCCTCGCCGCCCCGCCCGGCCTTACCCCACCCAGAGCCCCCTCCCCACCGCGGCGTAGAGCCGGTCAGCTGATCGGGCCGGCCGTCGGTGGCGTACTGGACTGATCCCGATAGCAACCCGATGTAAAGGCGAGGGGGGGCGGGGAGCCTTGATGCAACATATCAAGCGATCACTTCGCCCTATATCCCTATATCTGACGCGAGCGGCGCGCTGCTATAAGCGCCATGCCCAGTGAAAGATACCGACCCAGTTGATATCTGAGGGGTCCGATCAAAATCGAACATTAGTCTGGATTCGGAATGACCTAGACGTTTCCTTTGAGATCCAGAATAAATAAGCAATGAAGCACTTTCGCAAATCGTGAAAGACCTTCGAAATAAAAGTAACAACAAATCAAGCTATTTTGGAGTAACCTTTAAAGGTTTGTGATGTTTTATCACGTTCTTCCCGTTGTCTTCCCCGTTTCTGTTGGTGCACGGGAAGGTAAGTATTCTGCTTGACCCTGTACAGGCTTTAGCGGTGGTCGGCACATCGGGCTGGTGTACTCACAATCAATGTATTCTTGTCATGCGACACTCGGTCTGCTTCATATGAACCTGCAACAAAGAAAGAAAAAAGATTATTGAGGTGTTTGAAGCTGAAGCTTATTGGCACGGCAGCGCGGAGGTTTGCATGCGAGCGTGCGAATAGCGGTCCAGCCGATATTGAACCTCCAGCAACACAAAGGACAATGCGCTGGCCTACTTTCGCACGACGGCGGTGTACACCACCGGAGCACACTGGAAAATATTCAATCACGTTGTAATTTCGTCACGTCGATTGGAATTAACGCAATTTTGTGGGTGTTCGGTGGTGTCTCGCACAGCCATATCTTTCGTCTCGAGCCACGACCTCTACGAAAGTGCGGGGACGGCGGGGACTCACCCATCTGATACTTCTTAATTTGCATTAATTAAAAGATTGAGAAACGGCAGAGGTCACATTCCTACGGAACGTGTGCTCTCCGTTCACGACTTTGCCGCCACGACGAAGCTGTGCCACAAACGCGGGGAGATGAGGTAACGCCCTGATCTACTTTTTTTTACTCGGGCATATAATTTCTCGAAAAATCTTTCCGAGAGTAGCAGGGGGGTAAAGATCAGAAGTCAGCTGGACCATAAGTGATGGGGTCGAAGCGTTGCCACCCGTACGCCACTTTTTACGATCCACACGTCCCGGTCATGACGAAAATAAATCGGCAGAAACTCAAACGAACCCGTTTAATATATAAAATCTTTTTTTTTTTTATTGCTCTGACCAGCGGCCGGTCGTCCCTGAGTGAGTACTACAGGGGCGAGAGAAGGCTGGAGGGGATAGGAAGGGTCGGTGTCCAGCTTCAGCCACCGCAATACAAGACAACACAAGCACATATCGGCCGTTTTACATCATGCAAAACAAATACCACAAAGAAGCACCATAAGTGCTTCTTCCTTCGACATGTCCATGTACATTCAGAAGTCGTAATGCGACAAGAGTTTTTCAAATGCAAAGGGAAATTGATATAAGGCGACGAGACTGATTATGAGCTGTTTACATCCGGGTGCGCTGCGGCTCGGCTGCGGCAGACGGACGGGATGTCCAGCGCCTCTGCCCAGCCCAGCCACTGTCCAGCCACTGTCCAGCCGGTGTCCAGCCGCTGTCCCGGAGGCAGTCCCGGCGAAGCGCCACGATTTGATGCTGCCTCGCCTCGTCCTGCCCGGCTGGAACTGGAAAGTCTTCATCCCCATTCTGCAGCGGATCAATTAGCTTGGACACCGTTAAAAACGCAAAGATTTGATAAACATTAAAAGACAAAATTTTATACTGACAATTTTTTTTTATTTTTTTTGAAAATCACTATTTGCAGAAGAGTGTTTCGCATGCGGGTTTCATGTCATTAGAAGTAGATCGTGGACGATTTATTTCCACCCAACATGTTTTTGACGTATCAGAATATTTCTGACTCAGTAGACACTCTAATGAGTCCTTCTAATTTTTATTATTTTCACATATAAAACTGAGCAACTGAGCAGCTTAGCTACGTCAAGCCGTTGGGACTCGTCCATCCTCTCGCCAAACTAGTCTTCTTTTCTTGGAGGCGCCACTCTTACCCATGTCCCCCTTCAGCAATTTCCCCGCCGTTTGAGTTGAAAAGAAAACTATTTAAAACTGGATTTTTTTGCCGTCTTTACGACCGCTTTAGCGACTTAAATGAACTCTTCATTCAAGTCATATTAAACCGTCAAATACATGTAATTATCAAAGGAAGCAGTAGGGAGAGGGGAAACAACAGACAGACCAGACAGACCGGACAGCCAGACAGACAGACAGTCAGACAGACAGACAGACAGACAGACAGACAGACAGACAGACAGACAGACGGGGCAGAGAGGACTCCAACACACCACGGATGACCTTTCACCAGCTGGCGAATGCCAAATTACCTCCTTATTTTCGGGACGCACTCTAAGCCGGGTGGGCTCCCATTGACCACAAAAAAGGGAGAGGGATAGAGAGAAAGAGAGAAAGAGAGGAGGGAGGGGGGCAGAGCAGCGTGTGTTAGGCACAGAGATGCAACAAGTGCGGTAACACCCATGCGCTGTCTCGCCGGGCTGGGCTTTTGTTCACACACGAGAAGATTAATGTTGCAGCGAAGCGTCGTGCTCGACAAAGAAGAAGAAGGAGAAGAAGAAGAAGAAGAAGAAGAAGAAGAAGAAGAAGAAGAAGAAGAAGAAGAAGAAGAAGAAGAAGAAGAAATAGACAGCTCACTTTCGCAAATAATAGACTTGTTTCGTCGGGTCTTGTATGCCATCTGTGCAGTAGCAGGTGGACTGCGTCAAGATGGGACATGGGGACTGGGAGTTAGCTGGTGACAGTTTACGAAATATTACCAACTACTTTGGGTTGGGCACTTTTAAAGCAGAGCAGTAATTGTTCTTCTTAGGGATCGTTCATAAAGTGTTTCCATTTTTTTCCTCTGATGCATTCTGTAAATTAAGGTGGCTCGGCACCTGCGAGACTCGGGGTAGGCCACCCCGCAGTGCACTCGTGCACACCAGACACGATACTGCCAACCTGTCAGGCGCTATGAGGAAAAATGACGGACTTGCTTTATGAATGAATGATCCCAACACAACTAGCATGATAATGTCTAATCCTTGTTTTGAGTTTTTAGAGTCGTTGACTAAAGATTAGTAATGTTACATGATATATAGTTTGGTATGCTGATGCCCGAGAGATTCATGACGATGATGTTCCAACCCACCCTAGTGGACAAGGTACCAACAGCGGGCAGCAGAGAACATGGCAGTCCGGGGACAGCAGGGGGCAGCAGGGGGCAGCCGGGACAGTCGGCTCGCGGTGACACTCGGAAGTGGAGTAAGGCAACAAGGGAGTACATAAGTCGAGCCGGGCACGGACGAGTTTCTCTGGGAAGGACGGGGCGTGACCACGGAGCGACCCGCGCGGCCAGGCCGGGCCAGCCTACGCTAGACCAACGACAAACGTCTCGATGCGATGCTGCTCGGAGAAAAAAAAATAGGTCTTCCTTCTGCATTGTACAGACAGAGTACATGAAAAGAGGGGGGAAAGCGGTCAACTACTGACTTTAGGTTTCTCCGCCGTTTCGATCGTTTCTCACAAATCGACCGAGAGTATCGGCTGCACACAACCGTCGATTCACACCTCATTGTAACTGCAAACGAGCTTCTGGTTAACGGAATAAGTGTCTGCGAGGTCTGTCTCAGAGGTAATTTAAGAGCGCATAAACTGAAAGTGGGCGGCAAGCGAAGATATACAAGGGATCATCCAGAAAGTATGTCTGCTATTCTGGGTTACGAAACTGTGAAGTTCAGTACAGGCTAGCTCTCATAGCGCCTAGTAGGTAGGCAACATTTTGCCTGCAATGCAGACGAGTCCTGCGGGGTGGCCTACCCAAAGTCTCGCAGGCGCTGAGCTCGCCGAGTGAGTGAGTGAGTGAGTGAGTGAGTGAGTGAGTGAGTGAGTGAGTGAGTGAGTGAGTGAGTGAGTGAGTGAGTGAGTGAGTGAGTGAGTGTGAGGTGGAGAGTGATGAGCCGGAGGGGGGGGGGACAGAAGAGGACTCCGGTCCAGTTTCTCTTTCGTTTAGGGCCGTCCCAGATTTGTCTCTGGCGCTCGGCCCGTCCACCACATGTCGAATGACGTGCCCGCTGGTGCCCGTACGGGTCCGTCTTAACAGGCGACGCATAGTACAGTCACCGAAAGTACTCAGCAAATGGTGCTTGGCTTGAAAGTTGAAACTTGGTGGAGTTGTCTTTTCAACCATATGGAACGTTGTAGGATACTAGGCCTAGGCCCCATCCTCAGTCCCATGCAACAGGGCCACTCATGAGCAGCTTCGGGTTTCTGCTGCTCGCCAGGCCTCATTAAAGCATCTTCAGGTAAGCTACTTGGATATGGCAAAAAAACTGCGAAAGATACCTGAAGATGGCCATCTTCAGGTAACCTACAGGTAACG